CTCCGATGTCTCACTTGGCTGGCTAATCATGTCCCGGACCCCTGTTCTGGGAAGAGGCGAACCACAAGTACACACATCGGACGCACACCGCCAGAGCAGGGGCGGGGGGCGGGCTGGTTCTGCTGGCGCTGGCTCTCTGGCCCCTCCCAGATCCGCACTCTGCTCTGCTGGGCAGCCCTGGCCGAGGAGCGGCTAATGAGGGTGATTTGGAGCAGATTTCACGGCTCAGCAAGGGTGCCAGTGGGGTGTGACAAGGACAGTAACAGCCGGCCCCTGAGGTGTGACGGGGCGAGAAGGAGGAGGAAGCAGGCCCCGGGAGCCGGAGGCAGGGCCATGGGGAGCAGGCTGACCTGGCGGTGCTGAGACCTTCCGTTAAAGGGACAGAGCCCTGGGGGGACCCTGCAGGGACGCGACCAGGTGCCCTGGCCCATTAGACTCCCGCTGCCCTCCCACCATCGACGCTGGCACCCGGCGGGACGGACTCCAGCCACCACCCAGTCCCCACGGGGACAGTGAGGACCATCCCCTGGGAGGGGTGAATGGGAGGAAGCGGGGCGGGCAGCCAGGAGGAGGCGAGCACCGGACCAGCCCCAAGCCTGTCACGCAGGAGCTGCCGCCGTGCCTGTGCAGTCCCCTCCCTGCTCCAGCGCCTCCTGCCGGCAGCCCTCAGGAGGGGGGCGCACAGCCAGGAGCTGTTCGGGCAAACGGTCCAGTCTACGTTTTAGAGTCGGCTGCACCCAGATTCCTGAAGTGCTGTTGACCTGTGAACTGCGCAGGCCCACGTACACGAGGAGGCTTTTCAGTCAATCCCTGCGTTTCCCGTCCGCGGGTGCGAGTCCGTGCGTGCAGCGGGCTGACTGCGTGCATTTTATTTGGGGGACTTTGTTTGGGGTGTGCCAGGGCCCCGGCCCCAGTCCCGGCTGGGCACCAAAGGGCAGATAGGTCTCCAGGGAGCCCGAAGCCACACACAGACCCCCGCCCGCACGGGGTCAGAGCCCCGGACCCCCGCGTCCCCGAGGTGGGCTGTGGCCTCATGGGACTGGCCCTCTGATGGGCAGCAACTGCGGTGCCCTCAGGAGGCAGGTGAACCGAGGTCCCTCCAGACGGGGGACACTGTCCTGAGCTTGGGAGAGCCACTGGTCGCCCTTAATTCTGATTTTCTGGCGTAATAAACCCGCCGTCCTCAGTGCACCCTCTGCATGTTCCCCAGTGTCCAGTGTCCCGCAGGGCACTCGGAGTGCGTGCAGCCGCGAGGAACGTCTCTCCTCTGCCCGGTGGTCAGCGGCTGGCTGTGCGCTGCGCACAGGGGTCCCCGTCCTCGCGGGAGGAGCGGCTGTGAACAGAGGGCCTGCCGGCACCTGGCCGCTGGCTGGGGGCTCCGACTCCAGACGGAGGCCTGGCCGGGCACCTGCTCTGTGCGCTCAGCGAAGCCCGATCGGCCGACCGGAGAAGGTTCCGGCGGTCAGTCCACGCCCACGGGCAGCAGGCCGTGCGAGAAGTCGTCGTCTCAGGGGCACTCGGCCGGCGTTGGCTGAACCCGCGCAGAAGTCAGGCAGCAATAATCTATCTGATATTGACGTTTCACACTCTCGCTCACGCTAAATAAAACCCCATTAAGGAACCTAATTTACTTCGCATCAAGCTCGCCTCTACGAGGGTTGGAATCGAATCTCCCCGCAGACAATGAGGAGGCCCAGAGTGACGGGGACATGTGGGTGTTTCGGGGCGCAGGCTTGGGAGCCAAAGCCGCATGCAGAGTTACCCTCTGGGTGCCGGCCGGCGCGGTCGGAGCCCCTGGGCGTCCGTCGCTTCCAGGAGCACCGTTGCTCTGAGGCCGGTCGTGTGTTCTCATGGAGCTCCTTGGCCTCCACAGGCGGGAGCCCCCGCCGAGCTGCAAGCGACCGGCAGCCCGATTCCCACTCCCTTACTGGGACTTCCACCCCTGACCACCTCAGGGCGCCCCCTGGCTCGGCCGGGACGAGGCTGGGAGTGTGTTCCTTCTCTCTTCTGCCGTCGTTGTACGGATGCTTCTCCACAATCCGACTCCCAAGGCGCATGTTGTCACAGGTTTCCCAGAAGCCACATTTCGAACCTGTGTGTGTGCACGTACCTGGTGCCGGGCCAGGAGAGCAGCCTGGTTGGCGCGGCCCCCGGGGCACGGCGTGGGCTCAAAGTCAGGGGACACTTCCACGTTCCGGGTGGTTCTCTCTCTCCCTGCGTGTTTGGGACGTCCATCGCAGCGACGGGCCAGGTTTTGATTCCTAAAATGTATGCTTTACTGTTTTTTTATTTGAACCCACTGACCCTTGGAAATACAGGGACTTAATCAGGCAAACAAACTCCGGTGGGTCAGTGTCTGGTTCCGGCCTCCTCGCCCGAGTCACACGGACATGCATGTGTGTCCGAGCTCCTTCCACACACTGGGGTCGGCGGGTTTCACGGGCTCGCTCCCGGCCCTGCCGAAAGCCATCGCCCCGTCCCGGGGCGGGACAGCAGGGTTTCCAGAGCCTCCTTGGCGGCACGTGCCCCGCGGGAGACACTGCCCGTGGGTGACCCACGCCCTCCCCTGAAGCACGCGGGACTGGGGCACGGTGTCCCTCTGTCTGGCGCCCGTGCCGAGCACGTGGGAGACGGGGGTGCGCCTGTCCGTGGGAGCCTCCCTGGCAGTGGGTGGAGTCCGTAAAAGTCAGTCTTGGGCCACATCCTCGAGGGCGTCGGGGCCGCTGGGTGAGCGGGTTCAGCCGCTCACCGCATTTAAAAAGTGACAATGAATAATAAATTTAGGAAACAAACATGGCCTTAGGCGATTTATCGCCCCGTGGCGATTAATTCCTCCTTCAGGGAATTTCTGTAATGCTGTCTAATCAGCTTAAGGAGTTAATTAAACAGCTGTCACTTAACTTTCTAATTCTGCAACGCAACGCTAAACAAGATTGGAAATTAGTTGTGCGGAGCCACGGCGGGGCTTCGTGGCTCCGGGAGATTTCCTCAGGTGGCCCCGCGCCCAGGCGGCGGGGGCCGGGGTGGCTGCGGAGAGGGCCTGGGGCCCTGGAGGGTCGCTCACCTCGCTGGAGAGGTGGACAAGGAGGCAAGAGTTGAGAGGCTCCCCACCCCGCCCCACCGTTTTCTCCGAAGGGGCCTCACCTTGGGAGGCGGCTTTCTGCCAGGGCCGAGGCCACAGATCAGATGGGGGCCTGCAGGTCAGAGCAGCCGTGGGTGCGTCCCACGCAGGTGCCCCCGTGGTTCTCACGGAAGGTGACCGCGCCGCAGGTACAGATCACGGGATTTCACCTAAAAAATACCGACTCTCAGCCTCTCTTGAAACACCAGGAACCTGCGAACCCGGCCAGTGCCCCCCCCTCCCGGAGCAGCACGGGGCCGGGGCTCTCACTCTGCTGTAGGCAGGCGCAGCAGGGTGAGGGCTGCCCGGGCCCTTCCCTGGGGCCGGGGACAGGCGGGGCCGGGGACAGGCGGGGCCGGGGACAGGCGGGGCCGGAGCAGGAAACAGCAGGCTCGCCCTTCTTCCCAGACCGTCGGGAGCTCCTCTCAGCCGCCACCCTGGCTCCCCAGTCGGGGACCACGCGTGACCTTTGCCCCCAGACGCTGCGGGAAGCGGCCCCACATCCCGACATCGCCTTTTTCCTCTCGCTGCGTCTGTGCCCCGAAGAGAACAGAGTCCCCTTGGAAGCCCGCAGAGGAGAAAAAGTTAAAACCGCTGCCGGGGCCGCGGGGCCCTCAGACGGGAGAAGGCGGGCGGGCTCTGTGAAACCCGGCACCTTCCGAGCCGCACTCCGGCTGTCGGGATGGAAGCCGTGAGAACACGCGTGTCGCCACGGCCACGGGCTGCACCTGCTGCGCGGGTCCTGGGCCCAGCCCCTCGGGGAGAGCGAGGTCGCACTCGGGGCTACACAGCCAGCTCGAGGGGGACGGCGCGGTGACGGGAGGGCGAGAAACTCCTTCCTGGAGCCGCGGTGCACAGGCGGTCCGCCGGGAGGGCCTCGGGCCCTGCTCCCACGGCACACAGGGCGGCCGCCCCGCGGCGCCGGCCTCTGCCCAGCGTGTGGTGGAGGCTCACCGGGGACCAGCCAGACACTCGCTGGGCCCGCGTGGGCGTGGGGTGAGCGGGACTGGAACCGTGGATGCTGCAGGCTGGCACTTGGAGTCCTGTCACAAGCGTGGGTCACACGGGGCCCCCGGCCCTGTGGTTGGAGGGGACAGCCCTGCAGGCGAGACCCAGGTCTGGGTCCTGGGGCGCGGTGCTCTCATCTGAAAAACGGGCCCGGGGACCCCAGTGGGGCCTCTGTGACCGGAACTGAAGAGGGACCGGGGTGGGGCGGCGTGAGGCCAGAGCCCAAGGTCTGGGGGGGCCAGGTGAGGCCAAGAAGAACATCCAGGTTACAGTGTCCAGGGCTGGAGGGCCAGGGGACAGCAGAGTGGGCTGCGGTTGCTTCTCGGGTGGGTCTGTGTTCATGCACCCACTCGTGGGACCAGTGGGCGTGGCTGGGCACCTCTGGGTCCTGGTGAGAAGGGGCAGACCCAGCTCCAGGGGGCCTGGACCCGAAAGCCATCGGGAAGGTGCAGGAAGTGGAAGAAAGCCGGGAGAGTACAGACAGGGAGGGTCTCGGGCTGTGCGCCCCTCACACGCCCCACGGGGAGCTCGCCTGAGCCCCTTGTGTGGCCCTCACTCCCCAGCCAGCAGCGGGACGTCATGTCGGACTCGCTCTGTGGGAGCTCAGACCTGCCGGCCAGACGGGCACGCAGACCCAGGGGCCGTGTGGCCTCTCTGTGACCCACATGGAGAGCGCTGCTAGCCAGGCTTGTCGGGTGTGACGCTGGTGATGGGTTATAGCTCATGCGTCTCCCCTCGACCACCGTGACCCCGGGGCTGGTGCCAGCAGTGGCTGGCTGAGCCAGCGTGAGGGGCCAGGTGGCACTCGGGGAGGCTGGGGAGGCGGCCGAGCCCCGGGGGGACGTGATGGTGGCTGTGCTTGGTCTTGCAGGAGGCGGACATCCTGAACACGGCCGTCCTCACGGGGAGGGCGGTGGCCGTCCCGGTGAAGGTGGTGTCTGTGGAGGAGGACGGTGCCGTGGCGGCCCTGCCGCAGTCGGTGGAGTGCAGGTCGTCGGACGAAGACGTGATCAAGGCAAGTCTGCCCCTCCCCCATCCCCACAGACCCTCCCCGCATCTACATGCAGGTGCAGCCAGCTGTGGGGGGTCCCTGAGCCCCCAGGCCCCCCACCTACTTGTCCTGCTGCTACATCCATGGAAGAGGATGCAGAACAGCCCGGTGGGGAGGGGCCTGGCCCGAGGGCCCCGGACCTAGTGTGTTTGCTGGGGCTGGTGGCGTCTTCCCAGCCGCTGGTGCAGGACCCTGTGCCCCCGCAGCAGGTCGGGAGGGGAGGGTGGGCTGCTGGAACCCCGGCTGACAGGTGGGTGAGACACCACCCTGTCACCGGCTGTGACTGTGGCGGGGGTCCAGCCCTGCTGTAGCCGCGCAGCAGTGACAGCCCGCCAGGCGCTGCCTGGGTTTTCGCAGCATCGTCTGCAGCAGGTCGATTCTCTTGCTCCTGTCTGTTGCCTCATGGTTGCAACATGGCTGCCACACCTCCAGCCACAGGTTCACAGTCCACACAGGGAAAGGAAGGAAGGAAGCAGGAAGGGGTATAGATGAGATCAGGAAAGCAAAGCATTCCCAGAACCTGCCACTTGTTGCCTGTTGTGCGGAAGGCATCACGTAGCCACGGCCACTCTTCACGGACTTGAGGTGGAGACGGAACATCCCAGTGGGGCTCTGTAGGGCCAGCATGAGTTGGGGCGCATGCCGTGGCCGGGTGCTGTGGGCCCAGCCCAAGAGGGGTGCCCGAGGCAGGAGGAGGTCTCTCCAGGAAGAAGCGGGACAGCCGTGAGAAGCACTGTCTTGATCTCCGCTCAAGTGCCCACACCCATGGCGGTGCTGGCACTCGAACCCAGCACGCCTGTCACAAACGGCAGGCCGCAGGCCGCCAGCAGCCCGTGCTCACCCGCTGGGTCCCAAGGTCCCCCCCAGCCCCTGGGAAGCGGCCTGGAGAAGTCCGGCAGCACAGCCCACACATGGTATGGCCTGATGGTGATGGCGAGGAGTGTGGGCCCTGGAGGTGGACCCCCGAGACGGAGCGGGCGCCGCCCAGGGCCTGCTGGCGGCAGCGGACAGGGCGTCCACCTGGAGCGTCGGCTGTCTGCCGGGGTCACAGTGGTGGGCGTCATCTGGGGGGCCCTTCGATCAGGTACACGGGGTCCTTGGAATGGTGCTGGCCCGGGGCCAGGGCTCTGCATCATCCCGGCCCTGACCGGGCCCGGCAGGCCTCACGGCGAGCTGACGACACCGACACCAGGAGGAGGAAGAGTCACAAGGGGAGGGGGCGGAAGGACAGCCGTGAACCACCTGGCCACGGCGCCTTGTCCTTGAGGACAGCGGGCACCCCAGAGCTGGGCGGGGACGCCCAGTCACATGGGGTCGTGGTGTCCATAATTCGGGTTTTCAGGACTCGAGCCTTTGCAAGTGACAAGAACCCAGCTCCAACTTGTTCACACACGTGCCCGTAAAAATACTTCATTGGCTCCTGTAACTTCAAAATCCTGTGAGCTTCAGGTACGGCTGTCTCCAGGGGCTGGAAGAGTTCCCCATGGATCTGTCTCCACACCTTGGCTCTGCTCCCCTGTGTGCCAGCCGCCGTCTGGGGCAGGCTCCCCCGTGAGGGGGTGGAGCCGGTCCCCAGCAGCTCCGGGTTCGTGCTCAGCCGGCTTCAGAGCCCCAGGGGAGAGGGCGCGCCTGCGTGCCCACGGCTCCCCAGCTGTCTCGGGCATAGCTGTCACTGGGCGCCCGCACCGTACGCCCACCGCTGAGCTCACTGGGCAGTGCGGGGGGAGGGGTTATACGCGGAGGCCTGAGGCCTGTGCCCACGTGGAGACAGAGGGGCCACCTCCGTCTGGGCAGGGAAGCGACACAGCACTGGCGCCACGCCACCTGCCTGGTCAGGTCTTCCTGACGCCGACACCAGGACAGAATTGCACCGTTAAGCCATTTATTGGGAGAAAAGCCCGTGGAGGACGAACGGGGTGGGTGGGGGCAAAGAGAGGCGTGGCCAGACCCAGACGCAGGCGAGCGCACGCCTTCCGGGAGCCGGGGCTCACTGCACGGGGCGGGGGGACCCCTCCTCCAGGGCTGAGCGGCACCGGCTGCCTGCGAGCCCCGAGCATCCTCTCAAAGGCCGGTGTGCACGGGTGCCCCGGGGGGGTCATCGAGGACGCGTGAGCGTTCGGGTCACACGCGCCGGGCGAGCTCTGGAGGTCCATCCAGCGCTGTCCGGACCAGGGCCGCGTTCTCCCTGCAGTGGTGGCCAGACGCAGGGCTGGCGCCGGGGAGGGGGCGGAGTCTGAGGGTCGTCAGCGCCCCCGCCCGGGGGATTTAGGAATTTAGGATGCATCCCTGTAGGATGGATGACAACACTGCCTAATTATGATTGTGGACTGTACGCTTATATTATGGTTACATATTGCACAATTCTACATGTGTGATTTACAGCACGTAATTATATGTTTTGTGTGTAATGTATTGCACATGGACACCTATACAAGCATATATGTGCATACCTTTCCCTGTTGTTTCACGAACATTCCTGGTAAACATATGGAAAGGAAATTCTTTTCCTCTTTAGAACAATGGATTGCACAGCTTTTCTCGCCTTTAAAAACGCTTTGCATACGGCTCGCTGCCCACACCAAAAGCGGCATCGAAGGTGGAACTCCTTTGTCAGCCGCGCAGGGCGATCGCTTCGTGCGGATGAATCTCGGCGGCTACAGGGCTCGGCGGTTACAGGGCACTCCGGCCTCTGAACCGCGGGAGTGCGGCCTGGCCAAGTTCTCAGTATTTGTCCTCCTGCAGCAGCTTGGAAATATTAAGAAAGCATTTGCTTTTAAGTTTCCAAGAGCCGGAGTGCGTGCCTTCAGCGGGAACTAATTAGGAGGAGTCCCTGGGGTCCGGGGACGCCCCTGAGACTCAGAAACACGGAGCCGGTGTCCGTGAAGCATGGAGTCTCGGGCTCTGCTTGCTGATTATTCCGTCGTGGTTTCTCGCCTTCCGGTAAACATGCTGAGTGGGCTGGGCGCTGTGACACTAGTAGTGACCAGCAGTTTCTTAGGGGACCTTGCATGCGGGGGCTTGCTTTCTCCGCAAACGGACGCCTTCAGCCCCAAACTCAGCAGGAGGAGGCGCTGCCCTGGGGAGCTCGCTCCGCGCTCCGCGTGGATGGGTCCCTCGTGCTCGTCTGCACGCACTGGCGCTCGGGAGAGTGCGCGCACGCACTTTCGTGCTCGTGCGTGTGGAGCAGCAGCCGGCGATGCCCGAGCTCCACGCTCTCTCAGAGGCACGCGCGGGGCACGCACGGTGGGCCACCCGTGGCCTGGCCCCCGGGGATGAGCTGCCCCTACACGTGGAAGTGCGCAGGGACCCCGGGAGCGCGCTGGTGGCGCTGCGAGGGGGCTTTCTGGCCGGCGGCAGACCGCGTCCAGCGCTCCGCAGAGGGTGGCGTGCGCGCTCGCTGGGGTCCGCACCGCTGGTCCTCGGCAGTTACGGGTGTTCCTAGCAGCGCGCCTTCGCCACTCCCCCAGACGCAGCTTTGTCCTGCATCACTGATGGCCGTCCCCGCCGGATGGAAATCGAAGAAATGACTTTATCCTGGAAAGGTCAGCCGGCCTGGAGCTAGGAGGACCGGGCCTTCCAGGGGCATCACCCAGGTTGCGTTCGGAAAGGGTGCGAGCGGGGGCTTTCCAGACCGCCTGTCCGCCCCCGGCCAGTTTCTCGGAGGAGACAGCGCCCCAGAGGGTGTGCCAGAGCGGGCACAGACTTGTCAGGCACCCGCGTGCGTGGCGCCCCCACCTCCGGGAACACTTCTGCGGTGTCGGAGTCGTCCGCACTGTCGCCGTCAGCACAGGCGCAGAGGGACGCGGGTGTGGTTAATAAACGTGTCGGCGGCGTGTGCCTCACCGCCAAGGCGCGCACTCCGTTTTCTCCAAGTCTTCCTCCTGCGAGGCGAGGAAACAAAATTACAGTAACAGCCTCACCGAGGTCCTCCTCCGCCAGGGCGCCCAGCTGGCTGTCCCGGGGGAAGGGGCAGAGACCTTCCCAGTGCAGGGGGAGGGGGCATGCCTCTTTAAAGACCGGGCGGCTCCACCCCGAGAGACCCGAGGGCCCACTTCCTCAAACGTGACCACCACGACCGTGCACGGTGGCTTCCTGCGTGTGCCCCAAGAGCTGGAAGCGACCCGCGGGCCCAGCCACGGGAGAGCAGATAAACCCAGGGTCCACCCATGAAGCCCTTCTTGGCAGAAAGGACGGTGGGGCCCAGGAGGGGACATGCTGGGTGGTGTCTTCTCTGCGGAGTGCGTGGCCAGGACAACAGTGCCGACAGGCGGGGTGGGGAGGAGAGGGAGCCGGCAGCTTCGGGGGTGGCAGCGTCTGGATGCGGACCTCCTGGTCACACACCCACTGAGCGGAAGATGCACGTGACCCCGAGCACACAGACCTCCGCGTCTCGGGTGTGGGATGCCTGCGCGGGCCGGGAGCGGTCCTGCCGTGGGTGGCCGGGGCGGGCCGGGGCCGGGAGCACCGCGCCTGCTGCTCCGGAGGTGGGGACTTGCGCGGTGGGCCACGGCGTCCTCCTGGCCCCTGGGACTCTGCAGGAACCCGGGCTGGGGACGCGTGTCTCAGGACACACACGCAGAATCACGCACAGAAATCCTGAGTGTTCGTGGAGACTGAGGAAAGAAAGCAACAACAAATCACGAGTTGGAAAGAGAAGGAAACACTGCAAATGTCCCAAAACGTGAGAATAACAGAGTTTTGCGGAGCGACTTCCTGAGCCGCCTCACAGTGCGTGTTCCTGCGCAATCTCGCTGCGCCAGCTTCCAGCGGTCCCTGTGGGGACTCGAGAAAACGGTGACGCCTGCTTCCGCCCCGTCGTCCCCTCTGCCGCCCGCGAGTCCTGGTGGGGGTTCGGCGGGGGCAATGCAGGAACCCGTGTCCTCCATCCCCCCACCCTCCATCCCGCCACAGCGGGTGGCGTCGCACCGCAGGCCTCCCCTGCGGCGCAGAACAGGCTCGTGGCCTCGCGGCGACCGGAGCGCTGCCCACGGCCGGCCTTCACTCTCGCCCCGCGCGGCGGCGTCAGAGGTGGCGTCAGAGGTGGCAGGGCGCCGGCGAGGCCGGGTTGGCCCACGCGCTCTCGGACAGGAGGGTTCACGCGGGGCTTCGGGCCGCCGCAGACCTACCTCCTCCACCTAGTCGTTTAAAAGTTGTCTTTTGACGGAAAAGCGAGAAGCTGTCCCCAAGGTAGGTAGAGCTGTCTCCCCTGACGGCACCCGGACACCTGCCTGTCACCTAGGAAACGGCTCTCCGCGGGGACGCAGGGGAGCCAGGTGGGGGGCGGGGCCTGACGCCACACTCAGTACCCACGGCCACCGCTCTTCCGTCCCCGCGGTCGCCAGCGTCCCTTGCCATTCAGTCCGGGATAAAACCAACCCCGAGGAGGCGATGCCTCGTCGGGGAAACGGGGGCAGACATTGCTTCAGGCCAAATTTAAACGGGAGGGTGGGTGGGCAGAATTTTAATACTCTTAGCTCTAGCGCTTAAAAAAAATGGGGGGAGAGAAAAACGAGAGAAAAGTGTACATTTCCCACGAATGTCGGTGATACTTAAGTAAGATTAATACTCACAGAGCATTTCGGCAGAAAAAGAGAAGCAGCATTAGATCCTCGCCAGTGCCGGCTGTGCGCAGCGGAATCGGAGGCCCTAGCTGTGGCGCCGTGATTGTTGCGGGGGTGGGGGGTGCTGGGAGCTGTGATGGGCCGCTCCTCCCCCCTCTGGGTGGCAGAGTGGGCATCCACAAACCCGCCAGCGTGGACCCCTAGGCACATTTGGCCGAGGCGGGCAGACTGTGCCTGCCAGCTCCCCAGACCCCGTGTTGCTGCGGGTCACCTCGAGTGCACGCGGTGAGCAGGGGACGGAGGGGGCGTTCCGCTTGCCAGCTCCAGCTCTTGCTGTCTCCTGCCCTGGGTGTGCTGGGTGCCTGTCCGGCCGCCCTCGGGCACTAGGGTGTCCTCCCAGCGGGGAGGGGCAGCTCAGCCGTGGGCTCCCTGGAGCCAAGCCCGGCCTGGCCACCTGGCAGGGGCTTGGTGAGGAGGGGTCCAGGGCGGAAATGCCCCAGGGCCCTTGGGAAGATCTGCCCCCCCACCCCGGGAGCTCAGCAGTAATCCCTCCACCGCGCCCACCCCCCACACTCCCCCCACCTGTGACAGTTCAGCCTGAGGCAGAATCAGAAGGGCGAGAGGAGCCCAGGGGTGAGGACGGCGAGGCCAGGCCCTGGTGTGAGGAGGTCACCCGGGCCGGTCCCGCCCCTGTGCTGCAGGCGCGGGGCGGGGGGACAGCCCATCCGTCCCCCAGGCTTCAGCGAGGGGCCCGCCGTGCCCTTGGCTGCCTGGCCTGCAGATCGTCGGTGACCTGCCGTTAACAATGCCGGCACAGCCTGGGGGTTCCCCACGGGCTCCCCCTCGCAGCCCCCCCCTGCTCTCTCATCCCCCGGGGCCACACGCACTGCTCCCCACCCACCCACCCACCCGTGTCTCGGCATGCCCCCACTCTCTCAGTCCTGGAGCTCAGGGGACAGCTTCCCCCAGCCGTCATCCCGGGGCCGGCCGGGGCGCCGCCCTCCCCCGTCCCTGAGCCGTGGGACCCGAGGGGAGCGCCTGCCCATCTCTCTGTGCAGGTGTCCGACCGCTGCGACTACGTCTTCGTCAACGGGAAAGAGATGAAGGGCAAGGTGGACGTGGTGGTGACCTTCAGCTACCAGCACCTCAGCGGGGCCCTGGAGATGACGGTGTGGGCGCCCCGGCTGCCGCTGCACATCGAGGTCTCGGACGCCGAGCTCAACCAGGTCAAGGGCTGGAGGGTGCCCGTCGTCCCCAGCGGCAGGTGGGTGCGTCTGTCAGGCCCGTCGGAAGCCCGAGTCCTGTGCGAGGTGGAGGGGGGAGTCCTCTGAGAGGCCGGTTTCCTAGTCCTTCCCTTAAACGTCCACCCTGTGTCAGCAGGGGAGGGTGGCCTCAAGGACAAAGGCGTGGGTGCCTTGTGACGCTTGAAGCAAAGGTCCCTCTCTTAACCCCTGGGGCTGGGGGGCGGCGCTGGGGGACGGGGCTGGGAGTGCGTGTGGCTGTGGCTGAGGCAGGAACTGCCCGGGGACTCCCAGGGAGTCGCTGAGCCCGAGATGCTGCCACGGTGTCCACCACAGAGACAGCAGCAGATGCTGAAGGGACGGCCAGCGCCTGTCCCCATGCCTCCAACGTCACCGCCCACGTGCATCGCCCCCTCCCCCCTCCCCGGAGGTCGTGTGTGCCCGCCTGTCCTCAGGCCTGGGGCCCCGCCAGCCCTGCACAGGCCCTGGGCACCCGGTGTCTGCCGCCCCAGCAGCCGGGGACTTGCCCCGGAGCTCCGTGCCGCCCCACAGTTCCTGTGGATCCGGGTCCGGGCCGGCCGAGCTGGGGCTCACGCAGAGGGGCTCCTGTGGTCGTCGGCAGGCCTCAGCCCCCCCCCAGGAGGTTGAAACTGGACCCCCCAGTTCCTCACTGGCTGTGGCCTCGCTCAGGATCTGGTCGCGCGGGTCCGTCCAGGGGGTCGCTCCCAGCATGGCCCCTGCTCCCTCAGAGCGAGCGAGAGACCAGACAGGGACAGATCCCCGGCGAGGGGCGCCCCCCCCCGCTGACCCTCACCTGCCAGCGGCATTGCGTCCCCTCTGCTCCGCTCTCGCGTCGGAGGAAAGCCGCTGGGCCCGGCCCACAGTCCGGGAGAGCGGATTCCCCAGAGGGGCAGCCGGGCGGCGGGGCTCACGGGGCGGGGGGGGGGCACTGCAGACCTGCGTCTGGACCCCAGCCCTTCAGTATTCTCGCCACGCCCACCGTCCCGCGGTCTGAGCCCACAGCAGCCCCGCCCCCACAAGCCCCGCCCCTCACACGCAGCCCCGCCCCCACAAGCCCCGCCCACACCCTCGGCCCGAGGAGCGGGCCCTGCTAACCTGCTGACCCTCCGCAGGCCGGCTCCGGACAGCGAGGAGGAGGAGGAGGACGCGGAGCGGCGGGCGCGGGGCTGCGCCCTGCAGTACCAGCGCGCCATGGTGCGCGTGCTGGCGCAGTTCGTGGCCGAGTCCGCCGAGCCCGGGGCTCACCTGGCCCACCTGCTGGGCCCCGACTGGCAGGTGGACGTCACGGAGCTGGTGAAGGACTCCATGCAGGTGGAGGAGCCGCGGGTCGCCCAGCTGCACGGGGGGCAAGTGCTGGTTGGCCGGGAGCTCGGGATGACCACCGTCCAGGTGAGGCGCCCGCACAGGCAGGCGCGGGCCGCCCCCGGTCCCGGAGGGCGGCCGTGAGGCTCCCCGAGAGGGCCCCTCGTGTCCCAGCGAGCGGGCCTGCCCTGGGCCGGCCGGCGGCCCCCCCCCTCTCCCCACCCACTGACGCACGCACAGGGCTGACGCCTGGAGCCGCCGCGCGGTGCGGGCCTGGCCAGGGCCGGGCGCTCTGAGCGCAGTTCGGTGCCCAGAGACGATGCGGCGGGGGCGGGGCCGGCTTCCCGGGCGTGCAGCGTGGGGCACGTCCTGGTGGGTCGCCTGTTCCCGCGCCCCTCGCTTCTTCCCTTTCTCCTGGGGATCCCGGGGATCCCTCCCGATCCCCCTGGGTTTCGCACGCGCGTGTCCGCCGTCTCCTGTGGACTCGTGTCGCGTGCCCTTGCCGTTCGGTGTGATGAACCTCAAAGGGGGCTCAGACTGGGAACCCCGGGGTGGCACCTGCAGAGGCCCCGGAGCCGTGATAACGAGGCCGCCCTGGCCGACAGCCTCAGAAACGTCGCCAGCGCCTGGCAAAGGGCAGCAAGTGCCTGGGCAGCGGGCGGGCGGAAGGCGGAGCCTGTGTCATAGGTGGGCTGGGGGCGGGGCTTCGTCACTGGCGCGGGGCGGGGGGCCGAGTGGGGGCGGGTCGCAGGGGCCCTGCCAGCCCCGGAGCTCCGTCCCCAGGAGGACACGCTGTCCACGGCAGGAGGAGGGCTGGGGTCTCGCCCGGGGACCCTCGTGAGGACGCAGGTTGCACATCGCAGCTCCGTGGGTCCCGCGGTGGGGAGCGGGACCCCGTGCACACTGAGGCGGCACTCGGACCCTGCGGCCTCTCCCTCTGGGGTCGGCTGGCTGTCGGGGGCGGGGTGGGAAGGCCTCAGTGTCTGCCGCGCCTGCGCGGGACACCGCAGCTCTCGGTGCTGTGAGGTTGGGAACGGCGCGAGCAAGTGGAGTGAGTGGTTTTACACAGAGTCTCACCGCTGGCTGGCAGAGCACGCTGTCAGTGCCAAAGGGAGGGAGGGGGCTGCTCCTGCTCCCGGAGCTGGGGGGGCAGGCTCCCCTCCCGCAGCCCAGTCCCGCCCTGGACCCCGTCTTGCTGCGATTTAACAAACGCAGTGAGTCCCCACAGGCGAGACCCCGCTGTCGGAAGAAGACCCCAGAGATACCCGGCTCGGTCTGCCCCGGCTCTGTCCCCCAGCCCGGGCCTCCCGGACGCGACGGGAGTGACTCCCGGGGCCCAGACGGCGTTCCCCTGCCACGCCGTCCCGTTTCAGGTCCTGTCCCCGCTGTCGGATGCTATCCTGGCCGAAAAGACCATCACCGTGCTGGACGAGAAGGTGACCATCACCGACCTCGGGGTGCAGCTGGTCTCGGGGCTGACGCTGTCCTTGCAGCTCAGCCCTGGGAGCAACAGGGCCATCTTCGCCACCGCCATGGCCCAGGAGCTCCTGCAGAGGCCCCAGCAGGTACGGCCCGGCCAGAGGGCTGGGTCCGGGGGGTCCCAGTCCGGGAGGCGGGGCTCCCTGTCTCCCCCAGGCGGGGGGCGGGGGGGGGAGACAGCCTGCAGGGAGTGTGCAGGGTCCCTCTCTGGCTGGTTTCGGTCACAGTCCCCAAGCCCAGGCTGTGCCTGCATGGGGACACTCTCCCCCACACAGAGCCCGGCCCCCGACGCCTGTGCGCGGGGCGTCCTGCTCCGGACCTGGGGCGCTGCTCTGGGTGGGGGCGTGGACGGAGGCCTGGGGTCACCACAGCTTAACCGTGACGCTGACCGTCTCGCACGCCCGTGGGTGACGCGGCAGGGGTCCCACTGACAATCGGTCACATCTGGGGACGTGGGGTCTGTCGCTGTGCGGACTTGGCCCCGGGCCCCCTCCTCTCAGCCCCTCGGCCCGAGCGGCTCACGACCCCCGGGGCTGACCCCTCCCGAGCACGGGGCGCCGTCTCCAGGCCGCTCTCTTTCGGTTCCAGCCTGCGCGGGGGTTGCTTCCCCTTCACGCCCTGCGGGCCGCTCCCTCGCACGTCCGCATGGCCCAAGAGCCCCGTCCTCGTCAGGCCCGACCCCGAGACCAGGTGTCGCCCGCTTGGGTGGGGCCTGGCTGACGGCCCCTTCCCTCCGCAGGAGGCGGCCCTCAGCTGCTGGGTGCAGTTCAGCGACGGCGCGGTCACCCCCTTGGACATTTACGACGGGAAGGACTTCGCCTTGGTGGCCACCTCCTTGGACGAGAAGGTGGTGTCCATCCGCCGGGACCCCAGCTCTGGGTGGCCCGTCGTGGCCGCTGCGGAGTCCGAGGGGCAGGGCGCACTGGTGAGGGTGGACATGCTCATCAGCGAGTCCTGCCAGAAGTCCCAGCGGAAGAGCGTGCTGGCCGCGGGGACCGCCCCCATCCGGGTGAGGTTCAGCCAGAGCGACGCCAGCCCCAACGCCAGTGACAGCGGACACGCGGGCGCGGACGGGCGCCCCGGCGGCGATGGCAGGGACGGGAGGCCCCGCCGGCCCTCGCAGGAGTGGGGCGGCCGCGAGGGCCCGTCCCTCGGCAGCCCCTCCGTGGGCACCATGGGCGGGGGGCGGGCCACGACAGAGAGGTCCAGCTTCCCGAGGAAGCCCGGGCAGGAGGGCCTCTCCGACGGCCTCGGCGGCCGGCAGCCCGTGCCCCCCAGCCGCGCCCGTGTCCCCACGCAGGCGGGCGTCCCCGGAAGCCGTGGGGATGGGGAGGAGAGCGGCCTCCCGCAGGCCTCCCGGGGGCTGAGCGACCTGGAGATCGGCATGTACGCGCTGCTGGGCGTCTTCTGCCTGGCCATCCTGGTCTTCCTGTCCAACTGCGTGGCCTTCGCCTTGAAGTACCGGCGCAAGCGGGAGCCCCTCCCGGAGCAGGAGGGGCTGAGCCACCCCCATGACTGGGTGGGCCTGAGCGGCCGGGCGGAGCTGCTGGGGAGCCACGCTGGTTTCCCCTCGTCCCCGGGCGAGCGCGTGGCTGCCGTGGACGGGGGCCTGGACCTCGAGGAGAGCAAGTTCCTGCTGGGCACCGGCTCCCAGCACAGCCTGGGCGGGCAGCTGTTTGCACCCGCGGGGCCCGCCGGCGCGGACGGGGACCGTCCCAGGGGCGAGCCCCCCACGTCCCCCACCTCCAAGAGGAAAAGGGTGACGTTCACCACCTTCACCGCCACCCCCTCGGAGGACAGGGGCCCCGCCATGCATGCCATGGGGTCGGGCGGCGAGGACCGCGAGGACTGGGTCTGCCCGGCCCTGCCCCCCGGGGACGGCCCCCCGGCCAGGCTCCGGGACGGCGTGTAGGCCGGCGGGCGCGGACGGTGGCTCTCCCGTGCCTTCCTGCCTTCCGTCCGCGGCGGGCGGCACCGTGCCCTCAGGGAGGGTGGACCACAGGAGACTGCCTGGCCCGGCCGGGGAGCCCGGGTCCTGTGGACATGCCGCCGTCCAGTGGCGACACCGAGGCGTCCGTCCCGTGCGGCAGGGTTGTTACGACCTGGAGGGCGACGGGTGTTGAGTCCTGAGCTGCGGCGAGCGTCCGGGAGAGTGCAGCCCCGTCCCGTCCATCAGAGCGACGGGCGCTGCCAAGTCCCCGTGGCCCCGCCTGTCGGGGCCGCGGGCGAGGGCTGACCGTGGTCAGGCACCAGGGCGGAGGACGGGTCCCTCTGCGCAGCTGGGCACACAGCTCCGTGGGACTGGGGACGGGCCTGGGGTCCAGTCAGGGGCGAAGAGCCGAGCGCTTTTCCTGGCAGGCCCGCCGGTTCCGTCCGCACGTGCCCACTGCCGCCTCTGCAAAGACCCGTGGTCCCCTGCGGGCGGTGGGGACAGGTTCCGCTTTCACTGTGTCCCTCCACGGGCTGCTCATGTCACTCCCAGCGACGGCCACTGAGAAGCCCCACTGGGTAAACAGTGGTCGCAAGGAGACCAGCACTGACCGGCCCTTGTCCCCAGTTTTCTAGAAGGGATGGAGGTCCCGTGCTGTCCGCGGGGCCTGCGCAGGGTGAGGAGAGCCGAGACTGTGGGTGTCTGAGGGGTGGTCGGCAGAAAGCCTGTCCCCACTGACAGGGGGGCAGAGTGTAAGGGTCATGACCTCTGAGAGTGGGAGGGACCCTGACGCCAGCTCATGAGTGAGCTCTGTGAGCGCACGGTTCTGGTCAGGGCCCCGGGACCCCTCCGACGCCCCCCAGAGGCGAACCCTGCAGACACGGGCCCAGGGGGAGCCCAGAGGGCTCTCGGCCACCCACACCCGGGCAGAGACACGGTGGAGCCCTCGCCCGGGTGGGAGGGGTTTGGGGGGCCGGAGGCCAGCTGTGGCTCCCGCCCCGCTCCCCCTGGGTCCTTCCTCCATCCCTCTGCCACTGCGTCTCCCCCCCACCGTCCCACCGCCTTCCAGCTCCGTCTGCACGTCACCGAATCCCCCTGGGGGGACCCGTGTGGCCCCACCGCTGACACTGTGACCCTCGGCACGCCCTCCAGCCGAGCCGCCCCCTGCTGTCCTGAGACGCCCCAGAGGCCACCGCTCCGGCGCCCACGCGAGCTCCCCTTGTCCGCTGGGTGGTTCACTGTCGCCTCTTCCCGCCCGAGAGCAGACGGCATCGCAGCTCGAGGGCGGGACACGGACTCGTAAACCTCCGGGCCGTGCGTGCAGAGTCCGCCTCCGGCACGTTGACGGCCGGGCTTTGTCCCCCCACGCCGACCCCTCCGGGGGCCGGCGTCAGTTGCGGACGCTGCCCCCACACCGTGTGAGCCGCGCTCCGCAGCAAGGCGGCGAGGACAGGTGCTGGGCTGTGAGCGCCCCCGCTCCGGGACCTGCACGGGTCCGCGGACGCTCCCGCGCAGCCCCTGCTGGATAGCGGGCGTGTCCCCAGCCTCCCAGGGGCCTGCTGCCAGGGGACTCGCTCCGTCCCTCCTCCGGGTCGCCCGCCGCGCGCTCAGGCGTCCAGGCCCGTGGCGTGTCGCGGCCACAGCGACCGTGGGCTGGGCTGGAGAGGTTGGTCCCGAGCTTCCTGCCATCGGTGCGGCCCCAGGACGATGCCACAGGAGGAGGCGGTGGCGTGAAATCCTTGAGCGGGTGTGAACAGTGTCAGGTCTGTTCGAGGGGTGACCACGGAGCACCTACTGTGTGCGGGAGGTGCTGCGGGCGCTGGACACCCAGCCGTGAGCACGCCAGGCCCCGCCAGCCGCCGGCCCTCGGCGGGGGTGGGAGACGGCAGAGTCGCCAGAGTTCTCATAAAGGACGACAGCGCAGGTTCCGGAACAAAGGCCGAGTCAGCGTCCGCACGTGGCCCGTCTCACCTAAAAAGCCTGGAAGTCTGTCTTCCCCGGAAAACCCCGCCCCCGGCCGCAGGGGCTCCAGTCCTGTGGCCTCCGACCCCACACGGTGGGCTTGCTGCCGCCGCCACCCCGGCAGGACAGGCGTCCCCGGCGCGGCCACGGCCCGTCCTCGCGCAGACTGCGTCCCCGACCCAGAGCGCAAAGTGCGCGTTCCCGGAACCAGGGACACAGTCCCGCCCGGCCGCGTCTCCCAGCGTCTGGGGAGGGGACAGACGCCGGCGGAGGGATCTGCGCGTGCCCACGGCGGCGGGATCGGGCGCGTGCCCGCAGGCAGAGAGCAGCCTCGTGACTCGTGACTCGGGGAAACGCAGGACGTCCTGGTGCAGAGGACGCAGCGCGCGCGCGGGGCCGCGGCCTGTCACGTGACCCGGGGCCCAGACCCGCGGGGCGGAGGGACGCGGGAGCCTTTGCCAGCTGCCGTGTCAGCAGGGCCTTTGCGAATAAAGCCAGTGATGCTGCTTGTTTTCTCTCGCCTGGCTCGTGTCCTCCTTGCTGGCACCCCCCGGGGTCCGCCAGCCCCAGAGCCGCCCACCTGGGACCTCAGCCCAGACCCCCCCAGGCCCGGGATTCCGGCTCGTCCGCGCCCCCTCCCAGGGGCGGAGGCCGTGGCTTCTCATGGACTCTCAGGGCCCTGAGCTCCGACGACCCCCGGCCCCTGCATTCCTTCCCCAGGCAGGATGTCCCCCCTGGAGGCCGGTAGCCCAGGCAGGGCTGTGTCCCCGACCTCTCCGCAGCGACTGCCGGGGTCCCGGGCCCGTAGCCCTTCACCCCGACTTCTGCCTTCGCGGCGGGTCCCACTGGTGTGCTGTGTGTGTGAGCCTGTGTCCGAGTCCCCTCCTGCGTGGACGCCAGGCCTGTTGCATCCGGGCCCCAGTGCGGGGCGGCCTCGTCTTAACCGATCACAGCTGCAAGGACCCCGCTTCCAGATGAGGTCGCCTCTGGTAAGAAGGGTCAGGACTCCGCACAGGAACTCGGGGGGCGCAGTGGAACTCGTGGCAGCGGCTGCCGGCCGGAAGGTCTGGGGCAGGTCAACGTATAAGCAGGCTGAGGGCAGCTGGCCGTGACGGGGACCGGCGGGTCTCGGGGCCGCCTGGGACGTGGCCCCGTGAACCCGCCTCGCCCCCTTCACCCCACGCAGCCCGACTGTGAGGGTGAGCCGCTCCTCCAGCTCCCTCTGGGGAAGTTCCCCGCCGAGCTGAGGGCCCTGCTGGTCGTCACTGCCCAGGTGTGGCCGCTCCCCCTCTCCAGGGGCCTCAGCTGCCTCGATGGCCATCCAGGCTCTGGCAGAAGCGCAGGTAAGCCAGGGACTGCCCCCCCCCCAGGCCCACGGCCACGTCCCCAGCTCAGCGGGCACGGAGGCCCTGCACAGCTCCAGGGCAGCCCAAGGGGGGCGGGCGGGAGGAGGGGGGAGGGGGCTGCAGCCAGAGCTGCAGACTCCAGCCTGACTTGGGGCACAGGCAGGCCCGCCGGCCTAAAAACCCCTCCTCTAGTGCTCCACCTGGCAGGGGTCCGAGTTGGGGGGGGTGTGGGGGGGCATGGGGAAGATGCCAGCCCGTGTGGCCCAAAGTCACGGACAGGACAGAGGCACAGAGGCTGCGTGCATTCCGGGGGGTGTGCGGGTTCCCGAGCTCTGCCAGCCCGGGTGGCTGCAGACCAGGGGGCTCAGACGGCCGTGCTGGTCCCCCTGGAGCCCGGAGGCCCCAGGTTCTGGGGCCGACAGCGGAGCACAGCCTCCTGGGGCGCGAGTGGGAAGGGAATCCCTTCTGTGCTTGTCCCCGACTCTGGTGCCCTTGACTGTCCCCTGGCTCAGAGACACGTCCCTCCCGCCTGTGTGGCGGAGTCGCACGACCTTCCCTGGGTGTCTCTGGGTCCACGCCGCCCCCCTTGGCTCAGGCCACCCACTGGGAGGAGGCCCTACCCCACCCCGAGAACTGCGACTCCATCTTAACTGGGGCTCATCTGTAGCAACCCTTGGTCACGTTCACGGGCCCTGGGGTCCGGGTCCCACACACCTCTTGGGGGGGTCACACTTCTACCCGCTCCAGAGAGACAGTCGTCCCCTTGATGTTTGTTCCAGAGGTAACAATGCAAATCGCGTTTCTTAGAAATTCAACTGGACTTCAGGAAGAACCGGGGGAGGGACAGAGTTGGTGACTCCCTAGCTCTGAACAGGCAGTGACATCTGACGTCCCGAATGGCTGGACTCGGGGTCCCCTCCTCTCCGAGACTCCGGGCTCCATGTCCGCCTCGCTGACCTCGCGCCCAGGCGGGCTCTTCCCTGCGGCGCCCCCGGGCGCCACAGGGAACTCGTGAGTCTCCCAGTTCAGCATCTCGGGGGAGGGCAGTGACAGTCCCAGAGGGTCCTGACACCTTTCGGAAATCAGTCCCTCACTGAGCCCTGCTGGCCACCCCGAGTCACCGGCAAGATGGGGAGACCCGGGCCTTAACCCCAGAGTCTCCGTCTGCCCTGGAGCCGGAGTGGGGGGCAGGGGGCGGGGGGCAGGGGCGTCCCCACCTAAACCACATGACTCGAATGGGAGGAACGGGTGTCAGAGAGAAGGTGGGGAGGCTTCCACTGCAAACGCGGATGCGGGGCCTGCAAAGTGGCGGCTCCCACGGCTCCGTCTCGCCTTTTCCCCCCGCGTCCCTGCCCCCACCCCATGCCAGGGCCTTTGCCTTCTGGACACTGGGGGAGACTCTGCACCACGGACGAGGTCGGTCCAGAAAAGCCCACCGTTGTTAGCGTAACGAGAACAGGGGGGGCCGTGGAAAGACATCCTCGTGGGCCGCGATGAATCCCGAGAGCCCGCCGCTCGCCCGCGCGGTGGGGCGCAGGGCGCCGCGGCCTCGGTGGCCGGCACCTGGCTCCCGTCCCACCCAGCACCACCGGAGAGGGGTGGGCTCACCCGGGGCAACGCGATGGAAGACTCTCGGCTCCCGCCCAGGTGTTCAATAGCTGGTTTCCGCACGGA